CCCATCAGCTGGCAGTGAAGCTGGAGCCACGGGGGCTGATTTACGTCAAGCTGAGCCTGATGGAGCAGTGGCAGAACTCACTTAATGGGGGGCCAGATGGAGACAGGGAGCCCCAGGTGTTTGGCGTGGAGGCTTGGCGGGTAGTGGAAAGGGAGAACTCGGGACTTATGGTGCCGCTGCTTATAAGCAAGTGCATCACTGAGATTGAGAAGAGAGGCTGCCAGGTGAGTCTGTGTATGATTCAAGGTGTTTGGCTTTTAAAAAAAAGTCGATCAGGTGACTGAAAACTATGGGTTGTTGGTCATGATTAATCCTACAGCTTTTATTTACTTTAAGGTCAAAAAGGTCAAAACACAAAAATATTATATTTATTTTAAATATGTGTTGGATAAAAGAAACATGTGAGAAGGTGGAACCAGTAAATGTTTGACATTTTTGTTTGATAAATGTGTGATTCTAAATTATAGGCTTGCCAGTTTTAACCTCACAGTGAGTGTCCTTCAGAAAGTCTGTACAAGTTGTCAGTTGAATTGTTAAGCTCTACTCAAATCGCAGGGTTATTTCAGTTTGATCTAATCTATAAGGCATACAAATTCCACAAAGAAGCATATAAGTTGTGGATGTGCCTTCTGGTGTTCACTTGTCCTTGTTGTTCTGGGGAAGCTGTGACTGCCCTCTTCACACAACAGTCTTTACTTTGTTCACTCAGGTGTCCTGTTTATGTAATTCACTCCGCTTTGTCTTGCCAGATTGTGATTCCTATCTGTTTCTGTCTCTCCTTGACTGCCTCTGTTTGCCCCTGTCTGCCCCCACCCTGCCTCATTTTGCTGCCTTCTTTCATTACAGGCATGTTGAGCAGACTTTGCTCAGGCTATCAGTCTGAGATCAAGTATAAGTGCTCCCCCAGGTTGCAGGCAGACAGGGGTTAGGACGGGTTAACATCAGATCCCAGAGGAATTTGCTGGTTGCGTCACTAAACCACGCATGGCTGGTCGTGTAGCAGTATGCCTTTACAAATGATTATGTAGATCTTTGATAGAGACTCTCTTTCAGAGCCTCTAAGAACTGAGCATCCTAAGGGCTTCTCTGAGTTTTTAAAACACTGGACAGAAGAGAGCACTATATGGGAGCACTCAGAGATATTTTTAAATAGAGCTATCCCAGTAATCTACATGTTGCCGTACATAATAGAAAATGATACACACATTTGTAACAAACATTTGGTGATGAATGAATATTTGTTATGAACAGAGGCATTATTTTAGACAACACAAAATCCCTGGTGTCGTGCTGTTAAAGGCATTTGTTTAAAGCTGAAAGTATTTATTTTATTTTCAATACTGATTAATCTGACATTTATTGACACAGTTAAAATTCCTACTGTAATACTCCAGAAGTCCAAGGTGACATCTTCAAATGCCTTGTTTTGACTGACCGACAGTCCAAACAACAGTATATTCAATATACTGTACAGTAATATAAAACAAAGAACAGCAGAAAATCCTCACAAACTATGAGCTGGAGGAAAGTCACGTTTTGACGTATTTGCTTGAAAAATGACTCAAATGATTAAATTTGGATACAACATAAATGTAACTGTAATTTGGAAAATAAATATACCAAGACTGAAGGGTTTTTTCTGTTTTCTCACATGCTATAATCGTCTAATAACTTTTATAATTAATTTCATAATCTATTAGGTAGACGATGTTTTATAATCCCCGTTCGTTTCCATGCTGTGTAAACAGTTGGCATGAATGAAAGCTTAAAGGTTAAGCTGATGGTGCGATGATTACTGTGGTTTTCTGAAGGGCTTTCACCCTTTGTTCAGTGTGAGAGGAAAACAAATTTTTTTAAAAACACATTTTTATATAGTGACTGACATGAAAAAAATCTTGGCAACAAATTTGTTCATTCATAGCTTTTTTTGGATTGTTAAAGTTGAATTTATTTTCTTTGTGTTAAACAGTGCTTTTTTGCTGGGACCTTTTTGTTAAGGTGTCTGTGCCTGGTTCAGACTTTAGCAACGTAAGTGGGAAGTGTTGTGACTTTTGTTGAAAAAGCCTCAGGCCCCTTTTTAGACATATTAAAATTGCCACGAAATTAAGTATCAAAAGGAGTTTACTTTGATTTTGGCTTTATTTGTGTTTAGACCTCATCAATTATTTGAACATTTACCTGCAGCTACCTAGACTTCAAAAAAAAATCCTAGTTTAAGCTTGTAATTTGTGAGCGTTTACTGTTTGTTTTGTCATATAGTTAAGTAAATAACTATGTACTTTGAGCTGTTGGTTGGACAAAACTAAACATTTGAAGATGACCTTTTCAATATTTTCAGACATTTTATGGAACATTTACTGATTAAATAATAAGCAGACTGATCAGTAATAAAAATGATCATTAGCTGCAGCCGTACTTTGTAGTTTTGCACTTGTGTCTACATGCTTTTGTCTGATACTCAAAGGCATTTGTGTGGTCAAATGCACTTTCCTTTCTTCTTCTTTAATGTTTCTGTAAAGTTGCTAAGCTGATCCGAGACTTAAAAACAAGATGGTCCTTCGAGCATCTACGTGCCTGCTCAGAGAACTCATCTGGTTTTGTGGGTTTGTGTCTGCCTTGCTTTGCATATATGTCTTGGCTGGTGCTGCTTGTTGTGTTTCCAAGAGGTCGCAGTGCAGAAGTAGCGCTGTTTTTGCTAACAGCTGTTCATCTCCTGCATGTAGAGCACTCGAGCTCTCCCCCAAAGAGAGAGTGTCAGTTTTTTTCTGAATGGACTTGTTGTTCATTGTGCCCAGTGAGTTCTGTTTACTCTCACACAAAGCCAAATCCCTGCCTAATCCGTCCTCCGCTCTCCTTCTCGTGTGAGGTTTAAAAAACAGTGCTCAACTCGCCTAGCACAGCTCACATGTAGTCGGTCTGCTGGGATGGGGAGACGTTACAGTGCTGCTATGCTGGAGCCCAGTAAGCACAGCAGTGTGTACCACCAGTGCGAGTGCACGTGTGTTTCTGTGGTACTGTCCGAGCCGCCATTCACAGCCCACTGGCTTAACACCTTACCAGGGCAACCACACCAGTTGGTCTGTTATGCCTCATACCAGACAGTGAAGAAATTATGGTATATCTGTAGCTGGGACTAATCCCATCATAACAGGAGGACACTGGTGCAGAGGTTCAAGTATCAGATATCAATGTCTCAAGGAAATTGACCTGAGTTCCTCCAGGTCATACTTTGGAGACTTAAAGCAACATAAACGGTTTATTGTTGCGCACTTCCATTTTTAATACTGAGATCAGTCATATCACATCTCTGTAGTTTAGTACAATGCAGTGCAAGAAACAAGCCAAAACATGGAACTCTGTTCATAGATGTATTGAAACGGATGTTACACACTTGATGCCTGTTCAGTTTTTAATTTTTTAACGAACCACAGTGCTCTAAAGTGAGATTTACAACTGTCAACAGAGGAAGGATTCCATGAAGTTCAAACATTCAGTCTGCACCATAGTATGGGTTATAGGATCATAACAGTAAGCAATATCAATATTGAATCAATATTAATCTTAATCTTACAATTAGACAGTCCTATCATCAGGGGCATAGAAGTTTTAGATAAAAAAAACCTTCTACCTTGGATTTTCTAATGAATTTTTTAAAATTAGAGTAAGAAACCTAGGTGAAGTGAGCACTATGCTTCTTGTAGCACACTGGAACATGCACTGTAGTGTATAGTATCTCTGTTCTTGTTGATTTTGTTTTGCAAGGGTCAAAGCACCTTGTAATACATCCTGTGTCCCATCAAAAAGTGGGGAAAGACAGTCTTTGTTTGAAAGGTTGAAAATGAATGTCACCACACCTGAAAATGAACACAGCACTCTTCCATGTGTATGTCAGCTTATCAAAGGAGCTTATGTTGAGTTTAAACAAACTTGAGTTTAGAGTTACATGGTTTCTGTGAAAGTATTTTTGGATTCTGTCCAGCACATTGTCTGAGTGCAAACAAAGAACTTGAACAATTGTTTGTAAAAATATCTACCTATCTGCCAGCTGTTTATTTGACCTACATATACACGTATGTGTGTGTGTGTGTGTGTGTGTGTGTGTGTGTCCAGGTGGTAGGTCTCTACCGTCTTTGTGGATCTGCAGCTGTAAAGAAGGAGCTACATGAGGCGTTTGAAAGAGACAGCCATGCTGTGGAGCTGTGTGAAAGCATGTATCCTGACATCAACGTCATCACAGGTAAACTGAGACGCTCACAAAGCACAAGCTCATTCCACACACTTGGTATAATTAGGACCTGGGAGTTAACTACATAACATGTCCAAAGAGCACTGGTGCTTTACTGGTGTCAGTCTCATACATTTGTCAGAACAGAATTTTCTACTGTATTTTAAACCATATTCAATTATTGTGATAATGAAATGTACTCTGCAGCACCTCTTTGCTTTAGAGCATAAAAAAGCTTACAACAGTAAAACAAACACAGTACACCAACTTTAATAACAAGGGCTGGAAAAAAGTTAGTAAAATAGGAATGTCTAGATAGAATTAGATTAAGCTGTACAGTAAAAGTGAGAATTAAGCAATTTAAGCCAACAGAGGAAAGAGGAGTGACTGAATTAGGAGAGTAAGTTAGTGTAGTATATCTAGAATAATATCTAAACAAATGTAACATTACTCAAACCGAACCTGGGTTTAGTATTGATCCAGTCCTTGCGCCGGCAAACATGTCTGAACTAGTGTGTCGCTGCCAATAGGTCAGTGCATGTGTATGTCTGAGTCTGCTGTTTGTGGTGAAGGGGGGTGGGGGCAGAGTTGTAGAAAATGACTTTTTCTTCCACAAAAAATAGCTGCTGTTGGTTTTGGGAAGCTCCTGTAAAGGCTGCCCTATCATGCCTGCTTGGAGCCACATGCATTTGCAGGGCAGGGTAAAGAACACAGTTAGCAGTTGAGCGGGTTAGAAAAAAAGGCCAGCACCAGCTTGGATTGTTGGTTTTTGCTCACTGCCTAAATTTGCTCTGCCAAGCGAGTTGCTGTTGCCTGAGTGGATGAGGACAGGGAGAATGGGGGAAGGGAGGCAACTGAGGGGTTTATGGGATATAATCATAGCTATAGTTTCAATAAACATACTTTATGAAATATATTTTCATGTCAGTATTCTGAAATGTCTGAATTCTGAAATCTGTGTTTCAAGATACCTTCTGATTAAATGTATAATTAAAGTGTAAAAACAATGCTGAAAATTGGATTAAATGTCTGCGGTGTGGAGTCAGGCTATAGGCTAATAAGCGAGCAGCACATGGGTGACCTAGGAGGGCTGGCATGTCACACAGCTAATTTAAAAGTGGAGGTAGTGAAAGGGATTATCCAGGGGTCAGAGTTCAATCCAAAGCTTGCAAAACATGCCCAGTGCGTAGTCCTTCATTGTTTCAAGTCACATTCCTATGTTTCAAATTGCAAAGGAACCAGAAAAGTGTCATCAACATGTGCAACATGCTGAGAAAAGCCAAGACAAACAACTTCAGCAGTTTGCGGTGATTACGCTTTCTGTGAACACATACAACACTTTTCAAGTTCTACTAGAAAAAGTCCTTGTTGCTGTAGATCAGCTGTGATGTGTGGGTAATTGAACAATTTGTGAGGATTGTGGGTTAAGTTTGTATTTTACTTTATTTTTAATAAGTGGTAAACGTGCTGTTCCTTATACTCAACTACTTACATTTACACTGAATGTGCTGCACATTGGATACCTTAAACTTTGTTTCACCGCTTCTTCAAGAGAAGCAGCACCAACCAGCTCGACCTTTAAAAGCACATTCATGCTTTCTAGGTTTACTGAAAGTTTTGGATTGTGAGCACGAGGCCTTTTTTCTCATTTTTGCATCAACTGAACCAGAATTTAAAATCATAGTTGCAACTCTGGCACATAAATGCTTCCATAAATTCACAAGCTGACTTTTTTATGCTTTAGTTTTTATACTTAATAATTAAATGAGATATGATGTGTTAATTAGTGAGTTTTAGAGGTGCTAATTGATTAAAGTTGTTGCCTTTTCCTGTTTCTAGTCTTTATGTATGCTAAGCTTGCTAAGTAGTAGTAGCTTTTTTACTGTAGAGGCACAGGAGTTGTATTGAAACTGCTGGGGGGGGGGGGCCTCGACGACAACTTTAAACTGGACACGTTAATGTTTTTCTTGTTAATTCTGGTAATGAAGGTCACTCAGTAAAGCCTTATAGGCTGTTTGGCACTCAAGTATAGTTTAAACTCTAAATATTTACTTAAGCAGTTTTAGTTCTCACCTCTTTACTGATCATCCTGGTTGGGCACAACAAGTGTGCATTGAATCGGTGTGAAAAGTTAGCTTTTAGTGGACAGTTTAGTGAGTCTGATAATGATTAAGCCCTCAGCTCAACCTGTTTCGCCTTTGTGTGGAAACAAAGCTTCTAAAGTGATACAATGATGGGAAACTGGCTCAGATATTTGTCCTCTGAAACCAGTGCGTCCTGAGCCTGGCTGGATTGAGTGCTCAGTACAGTTATTGATCCTAGTTTGTGGTCTTTAATTTTCCTTGCCTGACTTGTCTTTACCAAAGCCTACTTCCCTACTTTGCCCTCCACCCTCGGCGTCCTCCACTGAAGACATGGAAAGTCATTAACAAGTGCCCCCTTTGTTGCCAAACAAACACAGATGGTATTTGGCTCACGCATGGTGGATTAGCTGAACCCTGGGCTGGCCCGAGAAACAGGCAACCACTTGACAAAGAGCTCCAGGCCTACGTGGGTGTCAGAATATTTACTAAAAACTGCAGGTTGGGAATCAAAAAGTTGGTGGCAGACATACCTGATGAATATAAATGTAGTTTCCAGAGTTAGGACAGGGTTTGCTTATTTTAGCATTCGAGGGTTTACAGAAAAGTTAAAGCAACCACAGTGTAAAACTTGATTGTGCCATCAGACACGACAGCGCCCCCACACACACACACACACACACCCCACACCCCTCCCCCCCAGTGCCACAGGGGCGTGCAGGACAGCAGCAAGGGGGCCAAACGTCGAACAAACCCCTGTTTGTTCTCCAGGCGAGGCGCTGCCTGCAGCATTGACAAGGGCAGTGACCTTCCGTTTTGTTTGAACAAGAGGTTAAAGGTAGAGCAATGCCCCAGTGCATTGTGTCCCTTGTAGTGTTTGGTGGCACATTTAAAACACTGAAATTGTTGGAATTAAACAGGAAAAATATTTCCATCAGAGTATTCTTAAACTGTCATTTGTTGCTTTGTTTTATTACTGAGCTGCTTTTGATTTCAGGACTTCTGTTTGGTCTTTATCAGTCATATACAGTATGTAGGTGGAGATATACTGCATGTACTGTATACTATAGTTCATATCTCTGCTGGTGTAAAGCCTAACTCCAGTAGTTTCAATGCGAGAGGACAGACACTCGGTGTGTGCTTGCTGTTAGCTTGGCTGTGAAAGAAAGTGTAGCAACTCCAGGGAAAGCACAGCAGCACACCTGTTCAGCCCTTGAGCCCATGACCTTGTGTGTGTATATGTGTGTCTGTGCTGACTCACAGCAGGCTAATGATTTACCTGAATGGTTGTATTCTGCTCACTTCAGAAAAACACCAGTACATGTGCACGTACACGTACACAAGGTTGGAATAACTGCTGTATTTTTAAGTCTAAGTACAGATTGACAACAGGAAGCTGGAGAATGTTCACAAAGCATGTCTGTGTAATCAGTTTTGCAAATCAGCATGTCTACAGGAGAATTAAGGAGAGTCGGTGTACCTTGTGTTTGTGTCCTTATCGCACTTTGCTCATATCAAATTTCATACCAAGTCTGATGAAGACAAAAGATACCAGAAGCATTCAAGAATGTGAATTACAGTAAAAAACAAAATAGAAACAAGCTGCTACAGATCAGCATTGCCGGCTTTCCGGACACAGGAAACACGTTTACTTGCAGGGACATTTTATAACGCTTTCAGTACACGTTTGCCTGAAGCCCTGTCAAAGTCTGACCCGCTGACTTGGAGCTGTCACTGTGTGTGTCTACCTGAGCTGGGAGGGCTGATACAGTTTACTAGTGTGCCTGGATGGGTGTGTGTGTGTGTGTGTGTGTGTGTGTGTGCGTGTGCGTACCTCTGTTGGTGTCACGACGTGTTGACTCGCACAGCTCGCAGAGGAAATAGTTGCAGAGGGGCTTCTAAAACAAGAAAACAAAGTTGCTGTTACTATGGTGGCTGTCACAAACAGTACATGTGTGAATACATGCATTGGTCAAAATTAATTACATGTACTAATGGGAAGTTTAACTCCTCAAAAAGAAAGAACTGATAGAACAATTTGTATTTGGTTTAACTAATATCTAACTCAATATTTTGTGTGTGTGCTGAATATCAGTGTCCTGCCTTGACCAGTTGGGGTGAGTGTATAGAGGAGAGAGAAAAGAAAAGAAAAGCAACATGACACAACAAACACAAGAACAAACAATCAAACACTGGGCAGGTTGGTTCAAGAGCAGGCTTTTTGAGTAAAGGTACAATTACAGCAACCTTAAAAACCTGTGGAACATAGCCTGTTAATAGAGAGAGGTTAATCAGATCTAACATGAACATGTTGATTAGGGGTAAAACGTCTTTGAGCAGCCTGGTCGGGATGGGGTCTAAGAGACATGTTGATGAAATGAAGCAATTACTGAAGTCAGCTCAGAGAGATCTATAGGGGAGAAGTAGTCTAAATATAAATGAGGTCTTACAGATGTTTCTAAAGCCATTGTACTTGAGGCACGTCTGTGAGAGTTGTGGGAATGATTTGATTAATTTTTTCTCTAATAGTTGTGATTTTATTTGTAAAGAAGCTCATGAAGTCATTGCTGCTGAGATCTAAGGGAATGTTAAGCTCAACAGCACTGTGGCTCTTTGTCAGCCTGGCTACAGTGCTGAAAAGAAACCTGGGGTTGTTCTTATTTTCCTCTATCAGTGATGAATAATATGTAGGCTTTTTTATATGATAATAAACTATCTTTCCAGGCTAAGAAAAACTCTTCTGGCTTAGGGGATGATTATTTTATCAGTACTAAGCACCAAATCAGACAGAAAGTCTGAGAATTCAGTTAAAAACTCTGAATAAGGGACAGGTGGATGGTATACAGTAACAAACAGAACAGGCTTTTGAGTTTTCCAGTTTGGGTGTGAGAGACTCAGACTGAGGCTTTCAAATGAGTTATAACTATGTTTAGGTCTAGGGTTGATTAATAGGCTTGAGTCAAAGATCGCTGCCACACCTCCACCTCGGTCTGTGCTTTGAGGGATGTAACCGTTACTGTGACTAGGTGGAGTGGATTAATTTAGACTGACATATTCTTCCTGCTGTAACCATGTTTCAGTAAGACACAATAAGTCAATGTGATGTTCACTTATCAAATCAAAGATTTAGACGAGAGAGATCTGATATTTAGTAGTCCACATTTGTCTGTCCTGTCATTTTGTTCTATAAGAGGAGTCGTCTTAATTTTATTTAGGTTCTTATGAATAACTCCTCTCGAGTTGATTCTTGATTTATATAATTTAGGTGGGCGCGGGGCAGACACAGTCTCTATGGGGTACTGGGAGTTTTGGGTGGGTAGCAGCTGCAAAGAGAGGCATGTAAGACTGCAACCCTGCGTCCTGGTCTCAGCTCTGGGTTGTCATAATTTAGGTTGTAAAATAAACTCGTCCTGATTTCTAGATATGAGAGTCGCACCACCCAAAGTGGGATGGATGCCGTCACTGCTAATCAGACCAGGTTTTCCAGCTGCCTATGAAGCCCACATCATTTTCTGGACACCACCTAGACAGCCAGTGGTTGAATGACGACATGCGGCTAAACATGTTGTCACTGGTCAGATTGGGCAGGGGTCCAGAGAAAACTATGGAGTCCAACATTGTTTTAGAAAATTTACACACCACTCAACATTAATTTTACAACTGGCGCAGTTGGGAGTCATTGCCACCTACCTGAATAACAGCCTTAGTGTATTTACCTTTATCCTTAGTCAGCAGCTTCAAAAAAGGATGTCGTCCGCTCTGGCCCCAGGAATACATCTAACTATGACTGCCGGTGTCTCTAGCTTCTCTTTCTGACTATGGAGTCGCCAAATACCAGAGTTGTTTTCTCAGCGGGTGTGTCGCTGAGTTTAACAGGCAGGTTATGAACTGTGAGCGTTTGTTTCGAGCTACGACTCTTGCGAACCATCACTCGGCCACGTGGCTGAGATCCCGGCTGCTCGTGAAGCACCGGAGGGCAGTTAGCTTGAGCTGAACTAGGTCTAGGAGGCCCCACACTGGCTACATGGGCCTGGTTAGATGGGCTGTTTTCCATGGTGCGGAGCTGCCTTTCCAATTTGATGAGCTTCACCTCCAATGCTGCTAGTATCTGACATTTATTACAAGTACCATTATCAATAAAGAAGACAGAGGAATAACTAAACATGTGACACACCGGCAAGAGAAGGAGGGGGAAGCCATTGCCCTCAACTAAACTGCTTAGCTAGCTGACCTAAAGTAGCAAGTTAAATTTGTGAATTAGCAAGAAATTCTGTAACACAGGTGCTTAAGTATTGCAAATATATTGTCGTGACTCAAAATGTCTGATGTTCAGATAAACCTAGAAATTAGTGAGCCTAATCTGTAAACAATCTGGTAGCATGCACATTACACTGTGGGCACAGTAAACAGGAAGTGAATACTGTTACCCTGGGAACAGAAAACATTTTTTTAAGTCTTTTTACTTAACAACAATGCAAATCAGTACAAAATACTTTCAGTACAAATTGTTGCAACAGATGTAAGAGAAATACATTTTTCATGGCTAGAGAAACAGGTCTTGTCAAAAATTAGTAATATGCCATATTCTTTAACAACATTCTTCTTCTTCTTCTACTGCTGCTGCTACTGCTGCTGTTTAAGGGCAGTTGGCATACTGCTTTAGGTGCATTACCGCCACCTTCTAAACTGGAGTGTGGATCAGAACGGCCCCTACCTACTACGATAACAAAATAACCTCACTCAGTTCACATTATATTATATTGCTTAAGCCTGTGCCCTCTAAAAACCTATGACGTGCTCTGTATCCTATATCCCCTGAGCTTTTTCCCAACACATCTGGTAAACTAAAATTCATTCCACCGCTTAAAACGGTACTTTTTAATAACTCCCTCTCCCATCCAAACCTGGGACAACTCATTATAACATATTCCACAGTTTCTTGTACCCTACACATCTCACATTCCCCTGTATTATGCTTCTTCATCAACTTCAATGTACTTTTCAAACCAGTATGCCCAAATCTCAGTCTTGATAACATACCTTCCATCCATCTATCCATCCATCCATCCATTATCTATACCACTTAGTCCCGAATGGGGTCATGGGAGGGCTGGAGCCAATCCCAGCCAACATTGGGCGAGAGGTGGGGTACACCCTGGACAGGACGCCAGTCTATCACAGGGCCATAACATACCTTCTTCCTTCCTATTTCCAGTACTAGTCCCAATAGGAAACTAACAAGTGGGATTAAAAAGGTAAGAGTGTTAAGAGTGCCCTCCAGTCTTTCTTCTGGGGCTAAGTCGATGTCAATGGATACAGTGAATCTCATTGTAGTTTGCTGTAAATAGAAGGCAAGTGGCAAAGAACAAAAACACCAGGGGTGGGTGAGAGGAAGCCCAGCAATGTAGAAGTGATAAAGAGGACTATTTTAGGAACTCCCGGTAGTAGGATGCTGTTTAACATAGACATGTGTCTTTTTACCTGTTTTTACAGCTAAACATACCATTGTTTTGCTCTCTACAAGCAATGTACTATATGTACACTACAGGTTAAAAATTGAAAATGAAAACACTTTCATTTCAGGTATTCAGTAGACAATTATTACTTATGTTAAAATAACAAGCATTCATGGCTTGGGGTAGACAGTTGTCTTATTAAATGTTATATTGTGCTGATAAGTAGAATATATTGATGCCATGGGTATTAGCTCAGATAGTGCTAAAAGCCTGAACAGAGTGAAGCAATCTCATGTTAAGTACGTATGTTAGCACATGAACTTGGTGGAGAAGAGTCATCTCTGGAATCCACAATGTAAGGCTGCTAACATCACACACAGGAAATCTTATTCTGGCACTCAGTCCATGTTTGAATCTCACAGCAGATAAGTGTCTGAAACATCAGCAGCCACAGCAGCATCGTAGCCTTTTGACAAAGCTGTCCTGAAGTGATCAGACTGTTGCCAAGCGAGTTTGCTTATCAAATTCTGCAGCAAGTGTTAGCAGCACTTTGTACATCTTTGCAACTGAGCAGTGCAGCAGCACTGCAGAACAAACATTGGATATATGGTGTAGTGTGGATGTGTATTATTGTTGTTACTCTTGCAGTGTGTATTACTTTGAATCATAACAAATGCTGCTCGTCCCCAGTCTTCTCTGAAAACTGATCCAGCTTCATGCAGAAAGAAAAGAGAGCAGCCACTAACCACAAAGAGCTGTCACACTGCCAACAGCCTTTTTTATTCCCGTATTTATTCTTTTTTTTCCCCTTTGCCTTTGATGAAAAGACATGCTAGTGATATTTCAGGGGCTTAGTGGAGACAGACAGAGTGGGTTTCATGTTTTCCATAGCTTTTGTCTGAAGTGCGGGAGGCTAAAGTCACAGGTGTGAATCACAGACACCAGGCCCCCAACACTGCTGACTACCGAGTCATGCCTGACTCCAATCAGGCATCTCAGCAGACGCCACAGGATCAGCCGCAGGAACAATAGGACTTCATTTTGCTGCCAAGAGAGTGTGCCAGGTTCAGTTGTTTAAAAGAAGAGAGAAAATAAAAGTTTTTATATCTCAGTGACAATACTTCATAAAGATATTGTATATTGTTAGTGATTTGTCAGGTATTAAAAAGCTCCTAGTGTCAGTTCTATTTGTCAGTTCAGGTGTAGGAAAATTGAAGGACCCTCCGTTATGTCTTTTCTTATCTTTCTCATCGCCAACTTTTCAGGAGTACTGAAGGACTACCTACGAGAGCTGCCCTATCCTCTGATCACCAAGCAGCTATATGAAGCCGTGTTGGAGTCCATGGCCACAAGGCCTCTGCGGATGGGAGCAGCGGGCTGTGAGAATGACCAGGCTGACTCAGAGCACACTGTCAGCCTGCTGGAGACCCTGCCAGAGGTGGAAAGGGTGAGGAGGACACACTGTACATCTACAAATAGATCCCAGTGATCATGGTGCCAGAACAGTCACCACAGTGGCTGTGAAAGGGATAACTGTAGCAAAGATAATGATGGTCAGGATGCTACGATTACTACTGTTTAACTACAATTACGTTCTGTAGGTTTTTACACTGGGTAATATTAGTGGTGGCATGCAGTTACCACATCATTTCTGTTAAGTATTTTCAGATTAATAAATAATGACAAAGTGAAAACTAGAGTCTGACTGATGGACTGGAGTTTTGAGCCTGACACTAACAACTGATACTCCACTGTATGTCTGCTTAGCATATTTATTGTTCTGACGCTAGTGAAAACTCAGGCAATCATGACAATAATCAGAGTTTCAAGTGGGAACAGCAATGAGAAAGACTCACTGCCAACAATAAATAATGATAAATGCTTGACTGTTTTCTACAGAGATGTTTTTACATGCCAAAAATACAAGTATTGTCTCGGTTACAGCCATCACAAATGTCATTCTGCCTTAGGATTACAGTATGTTGCTATGTCCACATGAAATTGAGTTTTTAGAAATTTTTATTTTTTCTTGCTTGTAACAATAATTTCAAAGCCTCTTCTCAGCAAAACTTAGAATTTCCTGCTTTGTGAAATTTCTGGAGTGCAGCATATTTCCACTAATTTTACTATCACAGCTGTCACAACAAGATGAAACCTTGTCTTATTTTTATAAAGTGCTGTTTTTCTTAATTTCATATAAGTGATATAGCTCTTTACTGCTACAAATAGCAGTGAAGTATATTTGTGTAGATCTGCTGCTGTCAGTGGTACTACTGCAACTACTAATCATAATAATAACATGTCTTATTTTTATGTGTTTGTGTGTGTGTCTATAAACCAGATGACACTGAGGATGCTTCTTGACCACCTGAAGCTGGTAGCATCCTACCAGGAAGTCAACAAGATGACGTGTCAGAACCTGGCAGTGTGTTTTGGCCCTGTACTGCTCAGCCAGCGTCAGGACGCGTCCTGCCATAGCAATCGAGTCTTCATCGACTCCGAGGAGCTGGCCAGTGCTCTGCACTTCAAAAAGCACATTGAAGTCCTGCATTACCTGCTGCAGCTATGGCCAGGTGACTGATTGTTCTATGGATTTTTTAAAATTACTGAATCAGTTTTGATATTTTTAGACAGGTCTGCAAGGCATTTTGGCGTGAGACAAACTATACATTAAAGCTACAATATGTGACTTTTTTGTTGTTGAAATCTGCTCCAAAACTTGTCTTAATGTGGAGAGGTGCTGCCGAAGCCTCCTGTGACTAGACTCATTAAACAGCACTGGCAGCAGTGCAGAGATATTAGCTTCTAAAAGGTTTTGAGTAGGATTGACCTCTAAAACCAAGAGATTTTCAATTATTTCTGCTTGATCAGTGAGTTTGTTGCATTCTCATTTATGGTAATTTCATAACGAGAAATACCTGAAGAGCTGGATGGAACATAGTAGATTGGAGCAGAGAGAGGGAGTGCTGGATGGAGCAGAGTGGATTGATTTGAGGTATCATGTCTGCACTACCTCTAAGTAACATACTGTAAATTTAAGGATGTAAAGCCTACTATACAATATTCCATACACCAGCTTTTTGACTTTGGGTAGCTATAGGGCAGCAGCAGCTCTATGGTTCAGCTCTACAAAGCACTGTTAGCAGCACTGGGTTGCTTTGATCATTGAGGTTATCCACCACTGGCACAAGCACAGCTGATTGGCTGCACTGGCCACCATCTGTTGGCCCCTCACAAATGAAACTTTCCACAAAGAGCTTCATCATGGCAGATTGAGCTGATCAGAGCAAAGCCAGTAGGCCGCAGCATAAACCAAGCTCATGAGGCGTGGCCCCTGTCTTAAGATAAATCGCCAACCGGGGCAGATACCCAGTACCATTTTCACTCAGCACAGGTCATTCGTCTGCCTGCACAGCTGTAGTTCTCTACTCACTGTGAGACATGAAGGAATCCAAAGATTATTCCAGGAACAATGAAAAGAGCTGCAGGCAGTGTAAAATATGTAAAGTATGTTTTATTCACAGCAACTACTTTTTAACCTTTGGCTTCAGTTTGATAAATGTTTGTTCACACTGTCTAATCAGTGTGTGGTTACAATATTGACCAGTGTGCTCTGTATCCATGCACACTTAAAAATGTTACCATATGAAAATCCATTAGTAATAATTGGACAAAAACTCATACTGTAGTTGTTGGCAGTTTGTGTCTTTACCTCAGTGAAAAATGCATTTTCTTCTGTGCTTTAATAACCATTTTTAGAAAAGCAGTACAGCACCCACTCACACACTGAATAGACAGTGTGAACAAAAATTTATCAAACTGAAGCCAAAGGTTAAACGTGTGCTGTCTTCAATCCAAAAGCCAGCATTTTGTGCACATGCATGCTGTGTTTTGAAAAATCTTGTTCAAGTTTTTTTTTAATATCACAGGGCATACTGTATATAACCCCTGAAGATATCCAGTGCTCTTCTCTCTAACTCAATTTAAACCAGATCTACTGATTAACGTCTGAAGAAGAACTGACTCTGCGTCTGGTCCGACCTTCAGATTTAACTGTATCCTCCATCTCCCACATTGAACCAGCTCTGCACAAACCACTCAAGTTGAGCACCTACCACCCTGCTTCACATCAGCCAGGGAAGAACAACAGAGAGGGAGAGACTTAAACTAAGTGCAACAACTGAATAAGTCAGCACTTGTGAATCACATATTGGGAAGTATGAGATGGGTGTTTTAAAAAGTACAGAGATACTGTAATTTTATTTAAAACAAATGTAGACAGTTAAAGGGAGGAGACAGGAAGTTGTAGTCTTTTCAGTAATGAAGTGATTCTACACTCTCTCCTGCTGATGTCACTGGGCTAGTCCCTATAACGACCTGTAATATCACTGACCAGGCTCTCAGTCAGATTGCAGTGTTTGTTTACACCCTCAGTGACAGTTCCATTCTGTCTTCTTCCGCAGGTCAAAGCGTAGGATGCCTGGACTATAATTAAAGACAGTCCAGGCTTAACCTTAGCCCTCAGCCCCTGAAGCTTCACCCTAACATTTCACAATAATTATGGGATATTTTCAGCTGCCTCTTCACACACCCCACGCACGTGCACGTGCACACACACACGCGCGCGCACACACACACACATATCCATCCCTCCTCAGGCCTCAAGTGTGCATGTCTTTGGGCAAGTACAAGGACATCTGAAAGCCTCCAGCAAAATAACAGTGGCACTATTTACAGGAAGTGTAATCGATAATCTTGTTGATAGTACTGCAGCCTTCCTGCGTAATACACTTGATACCATTGCCCCTTTGAAAAAGAAGGTAGTGAAACAGAGGAGGCTAGCCCCGTGGTACAGCTCGCAGCTCCGCTCCCTAAAGCAGGCATCACGAAAAATGGAAAGAAGGTGGCGGTCCTCTAAGTCAGAAGAGTTTTTCATAGCCTGGAAAGATAGTTTAATAACATATAAGAAAGCCCTTC